GAGGGAAGCAGCTGAGGCCTCTACTCCTTAATAATCACAACGTCACTGGGTGTGTTTCTAAGGGGCAGATCGTGTTATAAAATATTTTAGATGTTGTAGAATGTTGTAATCATAGAGACATAATAACATAACCACTCAATTACACTTTTACTTCCTCAGAAATAAGCACATCCAATGACAGAACTCCATATACTGAAATATGCACAGATCATTTAGAGCACATGATCAGACTATGTATGTGACAGAGTCTAATACTAACCTACCTTTCCTTAGTCAAAACGAAGATGCTGTAGTTAATTTTTTCTACTGATTAGGTATTTGGTGTTTAGAAGCAATGATTTCTTTTTTAGGTATGATAATATTATTGTGACTATATTTTCAAAAAGTCCTATAAAGGTCATTATTTTTCAGAAAAACCTAGTGAAATGTTCAGAGATTAACTGGGCTGACATCGGAATTCACGTGACATGAAACTGAGGGTGGAGTCAGGTGGGTGTGACACAGGCCAGGCCTGTGGCCCAGGTGGTGGCAGCTGTCCAGCAGGGGCATGACACTTGGTAGCTCTGAGGTTCTCCATAGTGAAGAGTTTAAGGAACACATTGTATTTAAGCTCAGCTCACATGCAGTTTTTATTGCCTGCAGATTTGTCAGACTGAGAGACAGGTCACACGTCCTCAGTGTCAATGTGCTTCGAGAAGAGGACAATGAGGCCCCTGCTGTCTGTCACTGATGAAAAAGTCAGCAGGTGACCATGCCCAAATGAAACCCCCCAGTCCTTGCCCCGCAGGCCCAGTGACAGGCTGTGGGACACGGCGACACGCCCAGTCGAGGTCGGCCGTGGTGTCTGTGATTCGGCAGGAAGCTGCACAGTGTAGAGGGCGCCTGGTCACCCACATGAGTTCATTCTAACAAGGATTTTATTGTCACTTTCTCCTCTTATTACTCTTCTAAAATACTTCTAAGGTCCAATTTAGTATTTTCTCTAGAAAAATTAAAAATTTTGATTTTCAACCCCTTAATTTCTCAACTCTTTTCCTGTCCTACAGATCACTGCTGTTGAAAGGAAATATAATAATCACATATGTAGTTAAAATGTTTCTAATAGCCACATAAAGAAGAAACTGGGAAATTAACCTTAATAGTGTACTTTATTTTATTTAATGCAATACACCCAGGTCTGAGTATTACCAGAAGTTCCAACTGCAATGATGGTACAGGAATTGAGGGAACCACTTAGGGGCCATATTTCTTCTCGGTCTAAAACATGCTTAGGCCACACAGTATTACAATAAAGAACCAATTCCCCCTTAGACATTGGCTAATGGCTGTACATAGCCCAGTCCACTAAAGTTCTGTGCAGTGGGCTCCCTCCCTGAGCAAACCCAGCACAGCCCCTGTTGGCCCAGGCATACGGGCCTAAAGCTATGACCGAGAGAATGCAGGCAAACTGGGAACACATGAGCCAAACGCGAACCCACAAGTCTACCTCACCGGCGGGTTTCCATGTCCTATTTCCTGCTAAATGGTTTTGCAAATACTAACTATGGGGACCAGTGTGGCCTCCATACCATGGCCCCCCCAGAACTGTGGTGATCCTCCCCCAACCTAGGCCACGTGGCCTTCCTTCCCAAACCCATTTCCTTTCACCTGCCGGGCAGCAGACACCTGGAGTGCACGTGCGGAATTACAGCTGGGGTGACTCCCACCAGACTCATCCGTGCTGTTACTGAACAGCAAGTGGGGTCCCGCTGCCCACCATCAACCTCTCGGTAAAATTCCAGAGGCAGACCTTTGGGGATCAAGGAAAGGAGCCTTTATTCAAATGCTACACAATTTAGGAATAACAGCTTTCCACATGCATTAGTCACTTAAGCCCAGTAACTCAGGCTAAAATCTTTCACTCCTGAGTACCCCCATCACTCCCCCTGCTACTTTTTAATTACCCTATTTCTATAGAATTAGTTTACAAACTAAAACAACATAAGATACAGAAGTTAAACAATTTCAGAAGAATGGCAGGCTTCAGCCTCAGAGCCCGTCCCTTCTAGACACCGAAAGAAGAATAACCCTGCCACCCTCTGCCAGGCCTGCCCGATCCTAGGATATGCCTGCAGTTCCTCCTCCCACTTAAAATACAGCTGTGGGAACACACAGGTGGCTACAGCACAGTCAGCCCGGCGCCCTCCAGGAAGGGCGAGCAAGACAGAGAGAGAGAGAGAAAGAGACTGCCCTCCTTCCCTTTAATTCTTCTGGCCACAATTCCACGCAATCCAGAGGCGTCCGCCTTCTCAGCCAGTCGGGTCCTAGACTGGCAGATCCGCACCTACCCCTGCCCTGTCTGTGCCCGAGGGTAGAAACTTCTGGCACTTGCCTTGCTGGCTTGTTTATGGTTCCTTGGGTAACCTCCTCCTATGGCCCCTCCCTTCTCCCCTACCCCTGTGATCTGATCAGATCTCTCTGTATCAGGAGGACAGCAAATCTAATGCAAACAGTGAGAGAGGGACCGACACACTGGCAATTATGAGCTCCAAAACCATCAAAAGGGATCCTTTGCTAAAGTCAAGTAGGCCCAGCACATTCAGACCAAAACAGAGGCGGCTGTGAACACCATCAGTCAGCGGGACTTCTCTAAACATTTCAAGAAGTTCAATATCTTAAGGGCTTATAGTCCACCAAGATAATGCAATGTGACTTGAGGTCATTGCCAGCTGGGAGAAATACTTTCTCGTCTGGGAGCACACAAGCAAAGGGGACTTATTTGAACACCTGGAGAAATGGCCACAGGGCCGAAGAGGACACCTGAGTCAAATTCCGGCAGATAACATCGGCAGTCCAGTATTGCCACCGGAAGGGAATTGCACACCCGGACCTGAAACCAGAGAACAAACTGGTACACAGTGAACTTAACATCAAAGTAGCAGACTTTGTTTTCAGGAGGGAATTCACCAGCTACAAACTCACCACCTTCTGGGCCACCACCCCCTCTATCGGCCCCAGAGATTGTACATCATCAAGCCTATGACAGCCCGAATATTGATGTGTGGCATCTGGGGCTCATTTTCCAAGGGATGGTGATGAGAAATGCCCCATTTCAGGGGGACAAGGTTGATAAACTGAAGGAGAAAATAGAGTGGAAAGTTCCAGGAGCCACACTTTGTGTCAATACGGGGTCAAAAAGTTTTTAAAGAATTTAATGATGGCTGACACCAGGGAAAGACCAACCACGACAATATGATGAAAGGCCCATGGTTGACATACACCAGGAGCCGCAGCTGAGGCCACAGGCAAGACACCCTGGGGTGACACGGGTCCCCAGGTGGCATAAATAATGAAGGCTGAGAGCTTCAAGATTCGTGAGATACATGACTCCCAAAGAAAGCAAGGAACAGTGTTACGGGCACCTGTCTGACCATAGACACCACTGAACAGGAGAGGAAAGGCTGCAGAGTCAAGGTCAGGCCTGCCCCTGCCCCGCCCAACAGCAGGGCTCCCCCCAGGCAGGAGGCTCAGCCATCAGGGCAGAGAATAAAAGAGTCTTCAATTTAACAAGCACGAGATTTAAGAGCCTGTAAGTGAAAACAAATGTGAAAACGTCATGGGAACATACATGATTTGGCAGCACAAGGAACAAGATGAAGGGCCTGCCACTGACCTGACCTCAACATCAGAGCTTTCTCAGGCCTCGAGCTTCAGACATCAGAGAAGAGGACCAAAAGCCTTGGATGGAACCCACACTACGAGTCCTTAACTGAAAAAGACTCAACAATATAATGGGGATGTACGTGAACAGGCACCAGAAAACTTAAGACAAAGGGCCACACAGCCACTCAGGCCCTGTCGCTCTTGTGCCCCAACAGCGGGGCTCCCTCAATCCAGAGGTTCAGCCTTGAGATCAGGGAGCAGCTCAGCCTGCTGCTCCCTCAGCCACAGCCCCTCCCACCCTGGAGTGCAGCTGGCCCCTCCTCAGGCCCAGGTGGACATGAGGACCCCGCTCCCCGCTTCCATCTTGAGCAAGGAAGAGCACTCCCTTAGCCAGCACGGAACTCAGGGTGACTATTCCAACAGCCAGCATGGAGGAGAGGATGGCCAGTCCCCAAACCTGCATGTATTTAAGTATCACTAAGCCCCCGCCATTGTGAAATAGAGGACTGTTGGTTCCCCAGCCAGCCTGAATCCAAGGATCATCACGCCCCTACCTGGGTCCAGAGTCCAGGGTCACCACCCCCAGCCCAGCCCTGCAGCCTGGGCCTGGGGCTCCCCCACCCACAGCAGAAGCAGTAGCTCCTGCCTACAAGCTGCAGAGCTGGATGATGGGAACCCAGGTGGTCCCTCTGGCCCCAGCCATGGCCGGCGGGGGATGGCCAGCAGGGTCCTCAGGTTTTTCTAAAAATGTATCTGCTGTAGGCTGTCCACTAACAGAAGAAGAGTGACACCAATGTAATTTCATGGGAATTGTGCACGGCCCAGGCAGGACCACAGTCAAACGCTAGGGCCCAACCAGGGGCCTGGCCCGGCCTGTGCTCTGACTGGGAATCAAGCCAGGGTCCCTGTGGCCGGCGGAGCTCTGTGTCCTGAGAGCCCAGGAAGCAGATTGAAGTGACCTGTTGAATTTGGACAAGTTTGCTTTCTTTCTCATTTTTTTTTCATTTTGTTTTTTCCACTTCGGGTTTTTTTTTTTTTTTACCTGTTTGATTTGCACTTTTTCTTTTGTTTTATAATTTGTTTATAAGCTTTTTCCAAGGCTGCAGTGCCCTCCACCACTCCTGCACCAGCCCGAACACCAGCTCCGCTGCCTCCCCCTCCGTCACCGAAGAGAGTGTGTCTGCTCCCCCACCCAGCCCGGCGTCCAGCTCCACCTCTTCCACCTGCATCGTGGAAGCCAGGACCACCACTCTCCAACCCCCGGCCCAGCCCTCCAGCGTGGCCCTGGGGGCTCCCCCACCACCTACAGCAGCAGTAGCAGCTCCTGCCTACAAGCTGCAGAGCTGGGTGGTTAGGACCCCAGCCTCTCCCTCTGGCCCCAGCCACAGCCTGCAAGGGTTGGCTAGGAGGGTCCTCAGGTTCTTGGTAAAATGTATGTGCTGTAGGCTGTCCACTGACAAAAAGAGAGTCACACCGATGGAAGGTTTAAAAATTGTGAAGGGCCTATAGCAGATAGGTTTTAAGAAAAATCCGAGGACCCTGGGACCCAACCAAGGGCGTGGCCACACCTGTGCTCTGACTGGGAATCCAACCAGGGACCCTGTGGCTTGCAAGACGACACCCAACCCACTGAGCCACACCAGCAGGGCCACATTCCCTGCATTTTAAATGGTGAACCTGAAGGTACTGAGCTCTAGGGAGGCCGGTCACTGGTGCTGGAGACCAGCCAGAGGCAGCACACAGACAGCTGCAGGTGAGAGCACTGCCAGACACACCCACGTGCTGTGTGTAGGTGAGAGGACTCGGTCCCGAGGACGATGGATGCGTGCAAACTGCCGCAGCATTCCTGCACGGGATTCACAGCATGAGGGTATCACATCATGAGGTGGCCTTCAGAAGCATTTTGTCCAGATATCAGCTGAGCTTGGAGGACGGCCTGGAGCCCCTGGGGGTCAGTAAAAGAGGCTGTTCACACTGCGGGCCCAGCCCTCAACCCCCACCTAATGACACCTCAGAGACTGGACTGTTCTTCCCGGGACCCTTCTCCCCTCCCCTGCTCTCCTTTGCTCCCTGCTTCTAGACGTTCTTAATTAAAGTATTTGGTTTCTCCAAATTTTGTAATCAACTTGATGCTCCAGAGAGATGTATTGAACACTCTCTTTTTATCCTCTCTGCACAGAATTGGGGCGGGGCATCCTGTAGTCTGAGAAGTGTGCAGTGGTGCAGTACTCGGGCTTTATTAGGGGAACTCCCAACAGTAACATGAGGTTTTGTGGGGGAAAGGCCTGCACCCAGCACACTGGGCCTGTTCTGACACCAGGGCACAGCAGGGCTGACACAGGCAGAGTCTCTGTTGTCACACAGCCCATGGCCTGGCTGCTCTGTGACATCAGCAGGAATCCCCTCTCCTGACCTCTTGGCTTTGCTGCTTCCCTCTGGGCTGCTGTCAGTCTCAGGGGACCTGTCCCCCTATACAAGTCAGACTAGTAAAGCTCTGGAGGAAGAGCGCTCCAGGCAGAGGGGACAGCCAAGGCCCAGGCAGCTGGAGCTGAGTGAGCTGGAGTGAGAGCAGCAGGAGATGGGGCTGCAGATGAAGGGCAGACTCCTGGGCCTCGGGAAAGGGTGTGGGTTTGACTCTGGGAACTATGATCAACCCAGGAAGGGTTATAAGCAAGTAAGTAATATGATCTGATATAAGTTTTAAATCTCCTCAATTGTGGAGAGGATTCTTCCTCTGCAACCATTGTTATCTATCTCTACATGTTACAAGATTCACCAGGCAGGGCAGGGTTTCTTATAACCACTGAAGAAATGTGAGTTGGAAACTGCATGTGGTTTTTCACTTCAATCCTTTTCACCCCAGTTCCCTGAACAGGTAGACATGCCGGTCAATACATTGTTTTAAACGGGAAAGACCCACCTGCCTCTGCGGAGCTGATTCACTGGTTCTTACATCACTGAGTAGCTGGTCTGCTTCCCCTTTGCACTGAGGAACCTGTCCAAGGCCAGTTACTGGGCAGCTGGGAGCCAAAACTGCAACTCAGATGTTGTTATGCAAGGCCCATGCCCCTTTCAGCTCCAGAAAACACCAAGTTGGATCACTTAGATCTCAGCTTCCAAAATGCAGTCCTTGGTCTCAGGAAGGATCCCTGGATATTCACAGACAGGAAGCCCCACCTACCCCACCCCAAAACTCCTTCCATCAGTTAAGATCTAAGATCTTAACTTAATTTCCCAAGCAGCAGTGTCCCTTAAGGGACATAAACTGTCCTCTTCACATCTGACAGATGCCAGGGGCCTTGGCCCCAGAGAAGATCCAGTAATTTCCCCCCACACTCACTTGGCCAGTCTGGGGAGAGGAGGGCACTCCCCACTGCCCACCCAGCTGCCTACCTCCGTGTGTCTGTCTGTTGGCCGCCCTGGAACAGCCCCATCTGGTTCCTGTGCCTCCAGCCAGTCCAGCCCTGAGTGGGTCAGCACATGTCCGGTACCTGCATAGTTAAGGTGGGGCGGGAAGAAGACGGGTGTTCCCCAAGTGGAACTCTGACAGGCTTTCTGGGAGCCACCTTTCCACCAGGCCCTTTGGAGACGTTCCGGGCCAACTGCAGAGGCCTTTCTCCAGCTGAGAGAAGGGCCCCAGCCCTAGGCACTGCTCCCTCACCTCTGACTTGAATCCAGCCCTGACCTTCACAGTCCACCCTGGTCAGACTCCGCCCACCCGCACTGGATGAACCTAAATCGTGCTGGCAGAACTCCACGCCACTCAGGCAGAGGTTAGCGCTCTGCTGGCTCACAGCCTCTATGGATAAGGGGCCATGTGGTTCAGCTTCCAAACCAAGACAGTCTTGAGAATAAAAAGGGAACTCCTAATACTCTTCCCGGGATATTGGGCATGAATGAGGACTGTCCAGGGCAGAGCAGGTCTGCGTCTCCCCAACTAGGCAACAGGCCTGCTGGTCCCAGCAGCCCTGAGCAGCTCCCTGAGCCGGGTCCATCTGGCTAAAGACTCGCCCACTTGCACATTCTGCGTTGCCTTTCATTATAAAAGATGTTCCCAAGCATTTTTCACATCCATATCATAATCTAGTAAACTGAAAAAAGTACAATCTCCACTTCAGAAATGAAGACACACACAGGGTTAGTTAAGGAGACTGCCCGAGGTCCCGCCAAAGTGAGCAGCGGAGATGGGACTAGAACTCGAGCCTCCTGACCGCGGTCCAATAAACAGACTGACCAGTTCCCGCCCCTTCCTCCACTGTGGGCCACTGGAGACTCATACAGCTGTCAGAGTAGAGCAGGGCCCCCGTTTAAAGTCACCAGATGGGCTTCTACTGAGACCATCTGTAGACCTCAAGGCCCAGCGTCAGAGCACGTGGGGGCTGTGAGCAGGTGCAGGCAAAGATCAGCGCCAGCTGGGCCACGCCCAGCAACCGGCCTGAGCCAGGGAAGCCACAGGCCGCTGTGGTGAAGCAGAGGGCCCCGCCCCAGCGCCCCATCCCTCCCCACCCCAGAGGAAAGCACTGGAAAGGGCACAGAGGAACATGTGAGCTCCGCAGCCACACTGCTCTTGAATCCCTGGGGGAACTTGAGAGTCTTGGTGTTTCCCCTTCAGAACATTTCTCCAGTCCCTACCCAACCACAAGCTCTGTGTGCCACGGCCCGCCTGGTCGCCCTCTCCCTGAGGGGCTGTCAGTCTAGCAAGAGGGGACAGAGAAGTGAACAAGTCACGCAGTCGTCTGCCCTGGAAACCGTTACAGTGGGTTTGGGCCTCTGCGGACCACAGTACGGAGGCTCCTCAGAAAACAGAATAGAGTTACCCCATGGAGACTGCTCGCTGGACGATGATCCCCAGTTGGGTAGACCAGTTGAGTTGAAAGCAATCGAATTGACACATTAATTGAGAGCAATCAATGTTACATGACATGGGAGATAGCCGACATACTCAAAATAGCCAAATCAATGAAGTTATTGGTGAAAATAAAAAATGCCTGTTATATTATAGAAAAAATCACACATAGTTTTTGGCCAACCCAATAGTTCCCCGCCCCCAAGAAATGCAAATTGCTTTGCAGAATAGTGGGTGGTTCCCTGGAGAGACAGAGTGTGGTCGGAGGGTCCAAAGCTGAGTCTATGAGTCCAGAAGACAACCTCACCAATACTGTGGATGCGGGGGGGGGGGGGGCTGCGAGCCAGTTGGTGGGGGCGAGGGGCTTGGAGCTCACCAACCTCTGCCTGTTGCCAGGACGGGCCAGGTGGCAGGCACAAACACTAGGACCCTCCCATCCTTTACTCACCCAAGGCATCCCCAGGCCCCAGTGTGGAACAATCAGACACCATGCCCTGGGGAGGATCTGTAATGTGCCCCGAGTGTCAGAGAACTGAACTCCAGGGGGATGGGAGAGGGTAGCGGACAGAAGAAGGAAGTGCGGATGCCTGACTAAACCTCAAGGGCAAGTGGAAGTGAGTCAGGTAAGCGGGGACCAGAACATTCCAGAAAGAGAGGAAGCAGCACATGCAACCATGTGGGATATGAATGCTTCACACAGCCAATCACGAGTCACTCTGCTTGGCTGCAACAGGGGGGCTTAAAGAATGCGAGGAACAAAGGGGCCCAATGCTACCTGGTAATCAATCACTATGCTTCACTTTCACAAGGAAGAGCCAGCAATGTGCTCTGCAGTCTTTCTGCCTGAGCCTGGGAACTTTCTTCACCTGTCCGAACCTAATTTCCTCATCTGTGAAATGGGATAACAGCAGCCCCCAGCTCCAAGGGTTGGCCATGAAATCATAAGCATCACTACACTTACAATCCTGCCCTCTTTTAAAACATCTCTGCATCATCACCATCATTGTTACTGCTCTTTGGCTTTTCTCAGGAGAGAATGTTCTTACTGCCCATCTGCATTTGGGGGCACTTACACGATGACCTTGTGTAAAGGCCAACCAGACTATTCTAGCTCTCCTAACACATGGCCCAGTGTGAAGTTGCTGCCGTGCGTGACTACTCAGAGATCACCAGAAAGCACACTTATTTCCCTTTAATTGGCAAACTAAAGATGTCCCATGGGAAGAGACGCGAACAACAGAGAGAGCAAAAGTGTTTATACAGAGAAGCCGACCCCTTTACTTCTCCAGAAAATTAAATGCACTGGAAAGAACTTCCTCTGTTCCCCTGCATTTTAAGGAGAGAGTCTGTCCAACTGATACTAATCAAAGGCATAAATAAAGCGTTAGCACATTGAACCCAGCACTAAGTACAAAGAATGGAAACTGATGCCAGGGTCAGACTGGTTCCAAATTAGAAAGTGCACCGATATGTCTGATCGCATCCACACGTGGAGAGATGAGAGGAGAGGCAAGGGGGGAGCAGGGTCCACAGAGCCGCTGAGGCAGAAGATCCAGCTGCAGTGGGTCCGAGCACAAATCACGTGAGGAAGCGGAGACGGCAGTTATAGGGGAATCTTTCCAGGCCTGGTGAGAATGCGCCCCCGGAAGAGAAAGACGGGGTGGTGCCTTGATACCAGGGCACAAGGACAAAGGAGTGTGTGTGTGTCTCTTTAAAGGTAACCGATACTAGGCAAGTCTGCAGCCTACAGGGCACAAGCTAATGTGTGGGAATATGGAAATATCAGGAAAGGAAAGGAAAGCAGCTGAACCACCCACCAGCCAGAGAGCTGCATGAGTGGCAAAGAGTTTAGACTCTGGAGCCAGACCCATGGGTCTGAATCCTGTCTCTGTCATCTGCTGGCTTGTGACGCTGTGCAAGATGCCTGAACTCCCTCCACCTCATACCCTCACGTGTGAAATGGAAGTAACAACGATGCCTTCTCCAGAGAGTTGCTATAAGGATTATACAAAGTAATATTTATAAAATGCTTACGATAATGGCTGGCAGTGTGTTAAAGAGGATACAAAAATCAATGTCTTCTAAGTACTGAACCCGCGGTACTGCTGAGTATAACCCTCAGCACCAGTGAGCACAGAACAGACGTTCTTTCTGGTTCTTTCTGACGGCACGGACCGGCGCATGCACACGAGGAACTGAGACGGTGTCAGGGGATCAGGGGAAGCGCCCAGAAGGAGAGGTGCTGACATCACCCACAGTCGTCATCGCAAAGGGGGTTCCACGCTGTACTACAGGCAGGAGCCAGCCAGGGTCTCAAAATTCCATCTCGCCCCAGGACGACCTTGACCATTAGGGTGAGATTCGGAAGAAGTTTGAGGGAGGAAGGGGTGACAACGGACAAGTCAGGCTCAGTGAGGAGAGGGCCCCGGAGAACAGGGTCCAAAATGGACCACCGTGCTCTCTTCTCCGCACTTCACCATTGTTTGAGTGTATGACCGAAAATGCATGAATGAAGATTTAGGTGCTAAAACAAAGAATCAATGTGAAATGCTGCCCTCAGGGGAAACTGAGTCAGTGGTACATGAGGTCTCCCTGCATTGTTTCTTACATGTGAATACACATGTGATTTCACAGAAACTTCGACTTAGAGAGAGAATGATAAAGAAGAGTGGAGATTAAATGCTGAGGGTTATCTGCCTCTTATGATACTTCAGGGTGTGGGTTTATTGATAGGGTCAAGGTTAATGGCACGGTGAGGTGTGGGCATGAAAACTAAACCTTGAGTGGAAGCTTTTCAACTTCCACGTGCAACACTGTGCACCAGGCTCAGGAGCCCACCCAGCATTTGACCCCCACTAGTTATTTTGGTGACCAGTTGGAATTCATAAGGACTCAGCCCTGTGTGTTAAATTGAACATTCTGTTCTGTCATCCGTCACCTGAGTGGGGGACGTGCAGAGGGAGGGCTGGAAGGCAGGGTGTGGCCTTCAACTCTTTCCCACCTAAAGGTGCTGAGCGTGACCTATGTGCCCAGCGCTGTGCTACGCACTTCACCTGCTTTGTCTTATGCCGTCACACATGTCTTTCTTTACTGGTTTGTTTTTTAAAATACACCTTTCTTATAAAGGTTATAAGTGCTGATTGTAATTAAAAATTAAAACATGCAGAAGTAGATAATACCTAATTTCAATGAAGCACTTGCTGTGCAGGATGTTGTTTAAGGTAGTTTACATATATTATCTCCCTTACATCAAAACAATCCTACGAGAGAAGTGCAATCCTTGTCCCTGACTCACAAGGAGGCTGAGTCCCCTGCCCGGAGTAGCAGAGCCGGGTGCAGAGGAGCCTGGACTGGAACCAGGGAGTCTGATCCCAGAGACTCTCACTGTGCACAGCAGCCAATCAGGAGTGGAGTGGATGTGGGGTGTGAGCCTCCACTGAGAGCACATTGCACGTCCCTCCTGCACCAAACACGCCATTGTCTTTCTCCCGCACACGTGAAACTAGCCCTGACATTGAACTCCAGGATAACTACCTGGGCAGGCCCCAAGAGCCAGAGCTCTGCTTTGGTGTTTATCTGACTCCAGAGTGACCTGGGTTTGCAATTGTGAGGGGATCCCGAGGGCCAGCCACATTCTTTCCCCTGCTTATTCCCCTCACTCTGAGGGATTCGGTGGTCTCTGCAGTGGGACTGGGGTGTCAGGGAGCCTGTCATC